AAAAAAAAAAAAAAAAGCTTTACAGTGTGTGTGTGTTTTGTTCTTCAGGTCTGGATCGGTTCTGCAGGTTTGATCAGTCTGATCCCTGTTACGCAGCTTTGGGACACAAACTCAATCTGCTGATGGTGCTGGACGCTAGTAAATATTACCGGGAGTTACGTAAGAGGATGGACAACACAGCAGATTATCCAGTTTGTCTATTAATTAATGACATGATGAGAAATTGTGATCTTTATAATAACAGACCTGAAGTGACCGTCATTAATGGGACTCTGATAATAAACCGTGTGAACAGTGCAGATTCAGGGAATTACAAATTATATTTCCCTGACTCATGGTACTCAGAAGATCTTCAAGTGATTGTTGAAGGTACAGAAACTCTCTCATCAGACTCATTACAATCTCATGTTCTCCAAAGATCTCACTCTCATGCAGATCAATCCGTTGAATCTCTGTGAAGGTTTTTATTCCTGTAGCACACAGTAAACACACTACAGACTCCAGTAATAGTATGAGTCGTGTGGAAGAACAAGATTCTCCTGTGTTTGTCATGTGACTGTGATGTGTCCCTCCCTCCAGCTCCTATTGGCTCAGTGGAAGTGTCAATCAACTGCTCCTCCAGTGGGGTGATGAGGGTGTCCTGCTCCTCTGAGGGGGATCCGCTCCTCTACAGCTGGACTCTGAATGGAGGTCCACTGATGGATGGAAACAGCAGCATTGATCTGGATGAGGGAACTGATGGAGACATCAGCTGCAGCGTGAAGAACCACGTCAGTCACGCACAGAACACCATTAGACTCAAACCCTGTGCTGGTGAGATCAGTTCTGTTCATCTACAGATATCAACTACACAGACTGATTGATTGATTGATTGATGTGTTTGTGTTGTTCAGTGTGTTCAGTGTCTGTGGTGTTTGTGCTGGTCTGGTGTCTTCAGCTGATGGTTCTGTTGGGTCTGTTAGGAGGTTTTCACATCTACATGAGACACACGTCAGGTGAGAGACGTTTATCATCATCATTATGGATTTGACATGCAGATATTAAGAGTGTGAAGATGATGATGATGTGATGCTTTTAGGAAAGAAGCAGGAAGATCAGAAAGTGAGGATGAGAAGATTTAGAGAAGGACCTGAACACACAGCAGAAGATTCATGAGAGCAGCAGATCTTCTGTATTTTATATGATTTTTAACATGTTTAGACACAGATGTCTATTTTTTATTCATTTGTAAGTGGTAAGTGATTCACTGCTAGTGGGTGACTTCAGTGAACCCATCAACCAGCATTTATATGTCTTTTTACAGTTTTATAAATTTGTTGACATTTATAATGACAGTTGTATAAAAGCAAGAGTAGTAGGCATGTTAATCTCTTAAATCTCTTATTAGTCTGATTAACCAAGCTCTCCATAAAACAAACAAATCAAGTTAATAAAAGACAAGTGAACAAAATAACACAGACACTTCATATTTAAAGGCATTAGATGATTTGTTAATTGGATTTGAGTATATTACACTTAAAATTAATAATTTTAAATGGTGTTTTATGCATGTTTGGACTGCGTTTTTGTTTCATTTACATCTAACCAGCAAGCGTCACCAGCGTGTAGCGTGTTCCAAAGCAAAAGGTTCGTTTTTAAACCTAAAATCCACAATGAATCCTGATATTTTTGTATCAAATGTATTCTAGTCCTAATAAAAAAATTTGAAAAACACTGAAGGTTTGATCAGAACCAACACTGGATTACATGATCAAATCCTTTTTTTTTTTTCCTCTGAACAAACCATTTTTTAATATTTGACCCAATCCGATTGCTGAAACCCAGTCAAATTTCTCTTGAACTGCAGGAGACTGAGGTCAGACATGAAGCTGAGGCTGAAACAGGCTGCTGTTACTATGGAAACAGACTGACAGCTCTGTGCTGATGGAGACCTCGTGTGATGAGCTTGAGTAATGACAGATCTCAGTCTCATCATTTCAGTACAAACTCAGCTTCTTTATCAGGAGAAAATGTTCTTACAAACTGCAGTAATCAGTGAGAGCTTGTTAATACACTTTCAAACCACACATGCACACTGACATTATAAATATCCTCATGACAACTGCTTTATTTAGCTGTTTTTCTTGTATGTTTGACTCACAGCGTAGGTCACTTTGTCCCTCATATTTGTGTTTATGTGGTTTAATGTGAGGAATATTCAAAAAACTTCAGATATCATAGATAAACTTCTGATGGTCAGTTTTTCAGTGTTGTTAACAGGGAACATCGTCCATTATGGTTTTGTGTCAGACCTCGTGGTTTCAGACTTGTGTAAAAGTTGACAGAAGACGTGCAAATTGTGACAGATTTTATCTTTAGATTTAGGTTTAGGCTGTTACAAAAGCAACCAAAGGGTGACAAAAACAGCTTATTACTAAATAAGGTCTTTATGAAAATGTAAAACTGTAGAAAAGGTCAGGAAGGTCCCCACCAATAGAAAACCACATATGTGTGTTAGTTATTTTTGTGTTCTTGTACAAGACCTTCAACCTCAACCTGAGAATGATCTGAACTTCCCTTTCTCACAGAAACAGTGCTCTGGTCTTATAAATACTCTGTCAGCACAGATGAGTGTCAGACGGGCTCTTCTGAAAATATGTGTTGCAATATTTAAATAGTACAGTAAGAAAGGTTTGCAAGCGTATTTGTTCTTCTTAACCGTGTATATTAATGGAGCACACTTAAAATTTAACATTTTGTCACAGCTTCTGAAATTTCTGCATTTCCCAATTTTGTGAATAATTTCTGTCGTATTAACTAAATCAGGTCAAGAGATTAAATATTGTAATTAAAGGTTATTTATGCAGTTTTTATGTAAAGAGTTATATTTATATGTTCAGTTAAAGGGTAAAGACTGTGGTCTGGTTGCGGATGCCTACATGATGTTATATATAGTGCATGTTGATTCACTCAGCACACAATATTTACCATAATGCAAACACAATTAACCTCCTGCTGATTGCATTTGCATGCAAAGATTAAAGATTAACTGATTTAAGCATGCAAATATTAAAGAGTGCGAATATGATGATGCTTTTAGGAAAGAAACAGGACGATCAGAAAGCGAAAATTAGAGATTTAGAGAAGGACATGATTCATGAGAGCAGCAGTAGATCCTCGCATCTATGATAAATGATTTAGCAGATTTGTTTTATGAATCCGTTTATTGCTAATTTTATTCATTTGTCTTATGCTTTGAATGAACCAGCAATATTTTTATATCATTACATAAAACCCCTTCTGTTTATCCATAATCAAACTCCTTTATTTCTCTGAATCAGATCTGTCAGATTTCTGCTTCTGCTCTTTTACTTTATTCTGTTGGTTTTGGTTGACTTCATTTACAGCGTCTGTTTTATGTATTTAAGTAGGAGCTGTTGACCCACATTGGCCATCTCTGAAAAACTTCCTCTTTCTTCTTTCTATGTAACAGTCTTGTAATCTCCTGATGTGTCAGTAGAGCTGCTGTCTGTCAGTGAGACTCGATCTGACTCTCTTCTGCTGGACTTTAGAGAAATGATGCTCATCTTTGGACTGATGCTGCTGCTGCTGCAAACTGCTGCATGTGAGTCACTTTCACATCAAACTCTTATGATGCTGATCAGTCTCTCACATAAAAACACTGAGCTGTACCTCACTAGTTAGAAATGCTTATAAATCAGTCAAATTGTGTTTCGATAAAAATCTAGTGTTTTGCACTGCTTTCTGTGAGGGTTGTGTTCAGGACAGGGCTATTCAATTAGCTTCATTTGAGGGCCGGATTATCGAATTGAAAATTTGAAGGGGGCCAAGGGGGTGGGGGCCGTCCCGATCTCTTTTTGGAGGGCCTATAAAATTAGAAATTAAATTTAAATGCATATTCAGCAGTAAAAATAAAAACATTGAATCTAAGTAAACTTAAACAATCTTAACATAAACTATAAATTGTATGCATAAGCTATATTGATTAAGCTTTATTTAAGCTACAAAAGTTAATCAGCTGTGTTCTGGCAGCGGCTCACCGAAAGTGAGCCAGCTATGGCCCAGTAATGGTTGCCAGATTTAGCTAGGCTTTGGATGTGCAGATCTGGCCCGATTTGCACTGAGACACGGCACATTTAGCCACATTCGGCCTGATTACGGACCATAAGTGCTTGTCTGATTCTGGCTGAGATATGGGCATGCAGACCCGGACCAGTTTAGGTTGAGTGCTGGGCCTGGGTCTCCGTTTACAATGTGGTAAATAGTATGTAGCAGTGACACTTAAACTTAAACATTATATCTTTTACCTGCCAATGTTATGTTATTTGTTAGTGTATTTTTTATTTTAATTCCTATAAATATATTTTTTTCCTTTTATCCCACATTCTCTTTTTTCTTTAGCTACATTTGGAAATTAATAATGAAACAAGCTTAAAGTGGTTAAGGGAACTTTAACATTATTTTTGCCATATGAGTTTCAAGACATGCGCACCAGCTTTGACATCTAATGACAAAAGTAGACAGGCTTTTTGTGCTGCTAATTGCCAGAAGACCAGAAGAACTTAATACACTGGTGAGTAAACATTTGATAATCTAACACAGGGTTCCTCAAATCTTGCCCTGGAGGGCCAATGCGCTGCAGAGTTTAGCTCCAACCCTGATCAAACTCACCTACCTGTGATTTTCTAATGATCCTGAAGACATTGATTAGCATGCTCAGGTGTGTTTGATTAATGTTAGAGCTAAACTCTGCAGGAAAGTGGATCTCGTGGGCCAGATTTGAGGATCCCTGATCTAACACAGTGGTTCCCAACCCTGGTCCTGGAGGCACGCCAACACTGCACGTTTTGAATGTCTGCTTAATAAAACACACCTGATTCAGGTCATCCGCTCATTAGTAGAGACTTCAAGACCTGAAATTGGTGTGGCAGAGAAAAGAGATATGCAAAATGTGTAGTGTTGGGGTGCCTCCAGGACCAGGGTTGGGAACCACTGATCTAACATATAATATTGTGAGTTTGCTGACATAGTGCTAGAGCAGGAGTGGCGAAATCCGGTCCTGGAGAGCTGCAGTCCTGCATAGTTCAGCTCCAACCCTAATAAAAACTCACCTGACTGAAGCTTCCTAGTAACCCTTCAGGCCTTGATTAGCTTGTTCAGGTGTGTTTGATTAGGGTTGAAGCAAAACTCTGCAGGGCTGCAGCTCTCCAGGAATTGAGTTTGACACCACTGGTCTATAGTATTGCGGCTGATCTCTTTTTTTTTTTTTTCCCTCGTCGCCGGAGAAACACCCAACGCTTCCGGTGGCTGGGTGCGCTATCCGGATGGTGACCGTCGCTCTCTCCCTCGTAGCCAGAAGCCTCGCTCGCCTTTCTGATTTCACAAGTGCTTTTCACGGTCTCCGATGTCCCACGGCAGAACACAAATGGCAGCGAATGTGTGAAACAGTTTCAACACACACAACCTCAGTATATGCAATGAAATGTGTGAGCTGTGTCATTTAAAGGCAGCGATGTCTCAAGAACTCCTTATAACTAGTGATGGGACAATTGATTCCGCAGCTCCGATGCTCCGACGCAGTTTTCAAAACACTATTGTATCACACACTGTGCCGATGCTTGTATCGAAATGACGACACCACGTGATTGATGACGTTTGAAGCTTCGAACGTCATGCAGTATCAGAAGGTTGGGACAGCTGGTTTGAAAAAAATGGCGCTTCACGATCCCACCTGATGCATAAAAGGATTATTCAGTCACTTTGATGGCTGTCAGTCGGACATTTAATCATGTTTATAGCTGGGGTCTCAGAGATCCCAAACACAGCATAAGGGTATAACAGCTCACCCAAAATATTTTTTTTCAGCTACCCACGTCAATTATTAATTATGATCACGTGTTTGTGTATTTTATATTATTGATCGATATGTGAATCCGTTGACCAAGCTATAGGCTACATGACACGAGTTGTGGTCTCATTGGCACAAATTAATTTAGATGAGATTATATCTGATTAGATATTGTATTGATCCCAGATTGATTCCACTCTTGAATGTCACAGACTTCCGAAGCTTTGTTTGATCACATGCTTTTTCAAACCCTCCTCTGCTCTGCAATGATTTGTCAGTAAAGGTGGAGAAAACAAGTCCGACCACCAGATGTCGCTAATGCACACTGTGTTAAAAGCTTCGAGTAATGAACCGTTTTTCGGCACAATTTCATGAAAGCCTCAAATGCTTCAGAAAGCCTTGGTTTCCCATCACTACGTATTACTCCGAGAAACTCAATGTTAACCCACACTGTGAGCTAACTGTATCTTAGAAGTCCAATTATGAATATACTCAGTTTTAAACAAAATTAAACAAACTAAAATCACATTTTTCTCACGACTCTCTGATGGACCTCTTCCTTACCCAATAGCGTTACATTCACCTATTGGGGAGGCGGGTTTAA